GGAACGAGACACTGCGTCCTCTAGGCTTCCTGCCATGCTTCGAACGCAAGCTTCAGATGAAGAAGTGAATGACATGTTCTCCCGGCGCCTATTTATACTATAGTCGCACCGGTAGTGATGTCATGGGCTGTCGCCGGCCAACGTGTTGTTGGTGTTTTTTTCAATGTATGCTTCAGACATGGGTCACGACGAGGCGTTCCCCATAGCGACCCCTAGAGGACGCAGTGTCTCGTTCCCTACTCAGGGAACCATGGTTACATAAGTAACCTGAGACGTTTCGTTGGTTTCCCAACAGACATTCTTCACAGGCTCACAGTTTCATAAAACATAAGGGATTTATTCTGACATAGTTTTTATGCTTTATGTAAGGCTGTAATGCACCTTATGAAACAAACTCAAACTCTGAGCCCAGTGTGTTTGTTATAAGCTCAGAACGGTTTCTGTTTCCCTGAAACTCTTGCTTTCTTTGAGTGGTTTGTGTTAATGATTGACTGATGCTTAGAACGCAGGATGGCTGATGATGGCACATAATACAAATTAACAATTAAATGACAGCAAATTTCCTAAAATGAAACAAACACTTGTTTTATACCTTAAAAAACAAAATCATAAAAAAATACAGTTTTATCTCCCAAGTGCCCATGTTTCAAATGTTAAATATTTAAAGATAGTAAATAACACATGCATAATTTCAGGTAATGCTAATTTCACATACAGCTCACAATAAATATAACAGAAAATTGCATATAGCTCTGCCACAGCTAACAAAAATGTTTTCTAATTAAGTTATAAAAATTTTATTCTGAATGTTCAAAATGTCCAAATGTTTTTTTTAATGAGGGAGCATTCAATGTTATCATTTTGCAAATGTTACTTTTTAAACAAGTAGGAACATTTAAAAAATGTTAGACGAACATCCAACTAAAATGTTCCAGGAAAAAAAGTTATCAGAATGATGTTTTTGTGCCAACGCTTTAAAAACATTATTAAAGACCTGATAACTTTGAATGAACATTCTTTAATTAAATGTTACTGGAAGAGCGTTTGAGAGAACATTCTCTGTTAGATGGGAAGCGTTTGAGATCAAGGATTTAAAGATATTGGCGATATATTACTGGCTATACCAAATATTGTTCGATTTGGGAGCTAAAAATGTAGTTTTTTTCCCATTAAAATCAATTAAAGGGATAGTGCATCATTTACTCCCCCTCACGCTGATCCACACATTTATGAGTTTCTTTCTTCTGTTTAACATTAAAAAATATATATTTTGAAGAATGTTCATAATCAAACAATTGCTGGTAGCCATTGACTTCTATAGTATGGAAAAAAAAATACTATACAAGTCAATGGGAACCATTTTTTTTTTTTTAATTCATATTTATATGAATGCATTTGGCAGACGCTTGTATCCATTGCGTTCAGGTCTATATACAGTACGTTTGATCAATTCATGCATTCACTGAGAATAAAACCGCTGAACTTGGTGTTGCGAGCAATTTGTTTCTTCATTGATCAGCTGGCACTAGTATTTGCATGATTTACGCTAAGAGTGTAAATGACTTTAAACAATTACTCGACCAGAAAATCCAAAACAGACACAGTTTAATGAAAAACAACGTGTTTTATTAGAAACCCCAAACCCAGAAACACAGCGCCAGCACTGCATGACAAACAATTCAACATGTGATCACAGATATTAAATAGAGTAAAAAACAATAAGCAGTAGTACAATCACTATCACACAGCAAACCATTTTTCCTTTTCGAATCCTTTTTGGACACAAATCAGTAAATCATTCGTCCTCTAAGTGCATTTTAAAACACAGTAAAGACACTAAACCGTGAGTGTCAGTAGTACTCAAGGGCTCGTGTCAAATCTAGTGTGCTATGTCGCCTACGTAGGCAGCATGCTTGATCCTCAGGGCTTGAGCAATGTGTTCAGGTTCCATCAGGCCACTGGAATGCTTACAGTTACTGGAAACGGGAACTAAACCACCAACTCCTGCCTCAACTTGTCTTCTTTACAATTACTCTTCCTTCATTTAGCAGAAGCTCTGAAGCCGCTCGCAAATGAGGAAGAGATCAGGTTCTGTTGAAGTGAACAGACGAGTCAGGGCAGTTTCGTGTTGTTCTTATCAGCGGTGTGAACGGCAGGAACCGGTTTGCGCTCAGACGAAGGTCCACACCTCCAGATCCCGGACGGTGAAGTCGTGATGGAGGCTGAGAGGACGGTTGCAGAAGGTGCTGCATGAGTAACTGGAGCCGCGATACAGATCAGAATCCAGCCACAAGCCAAACGGACCCCTGAACACACACAAACAACAGAGCATTCACATTTACATGCATGCATTTGGCAGATGCATTGCATTTAAACTATATGTGACCCTGGAGCACAAAACCAGTCTTAAGTGTCAATTTTTCA